TGGTCCGTGCAGTCTCCACGTCCATCGCAAAACTTCTCCACAGGCAGGCATGAGAGGTGATCGAGGCAGGGCCTGCTGCCAGCTGGGCAGTGTTGCTCTGGGCTGCACTGTGTGGCATTCAGAAGGATGTGGTCATAAGAGCACTTGCATGTGCGACCTGCTGGGGTGGCGAGGCACAAGTGCTCACAGTTCCCATTGTTTTCTGTGCACGGGTTAGAGCCTGATGAAATCAAGCAGATATTTAGGCATGAGGTAGTTTGGTTTTTTGTACATGACATGTAGAAACATCTTTAAAAAGGGCAGGTTAGCCTTTCCTAACCCAGGTGTTCCGTTTGTGGTTCTTACATACCCATCTGACTGGGTTTGCTGAATGCCTTTAAGCCGACCACTTGTGTGCCAACCTCAAACCATAATTTCTTATCCTGCTGAGCTTCTTTGTACCAGAGTCGGGTCTTGTCTGAAGGAACAAAAGGTCATAGTTGTACCATTAAATTTATACTCAAAGATGTTGATTCCTGTGGAGCCATTATCCATGTTATGAAGTAGTCATTTACCAAAACTGCTCCGGCCAAGATGTCATTTGAATTTTAGGAATTATAGTCAGTTATTACAGTACATGCTTGGACTCTTACCAGTGACTGTAATCCAGAGGAGGATGTTGTCACTTACAGCCACAGCAGTCAGGCCATCATCAACCTTCAGCTCTGTATATCCAGATCCATCAATCAGGACAGAGCCAATGGTCCCCAAACCTGAGAACATTTGACTCAAGTCATTAAGAGAACAACCTATTGGAACAATGAAACTTTTAAGTAAACTAGTGTCAGCTTACTCGTGTCAGCCCAGAAAATGTTATCCCCATTATTAGAGAAGACCAACGATGTTGGTTGGACAGCATCCTTCCACACCACTCTTTGCTCACCACCATCCATGCTGGCGCACACTATTGTAGCCGTGCTGCCTGTAGCCTCCAGATCCATATTCGTGAAACAAACTCTTCCACTGGGCGGGTGAAGAGCAATCGAACCCACTCTATTGATCCCCTCCTTTATGAGAATGGCTGTGTATGTGCCTGTGACAGCAGTGACCTGCAGGCGGGGCTGTTTGTAACTGCTCCAGTAAATGTTGAGTGTTATCCAGTCGACTGCCATGGCAGTGATGGCGTCATCCAGCAGCTCAAGAAGCTGGTCCCGAGACGTCAGGAGTGAGTCCTTCAGCCTGAATGAGCTGAGTGAAGAAGTGGCATCATCTGTCACAAATAGAGTGTGTTCCTTGAGGCTGTAGTCCATGAGATTGGCTTTGTTCACGCTCGGTATCTGCAGGGCCAGATGCTCGGGCCAGCCCTTCAGCTCGGCTGCTGTGTGTTGGGACTGCAAGTAGATCTACAGAGATTACTGGGATTAGAGTATTTATATTATAATTAAGCATTTATATAAAAGTCTTTCCATTTTTAATGGCATTACTCGATTAGTTATGTAGCTTGCTGTGTGATACAGCCTGTCCAGAAGGGCAGGCGTAGAGTTTGCTTCACTTTTGAGTGAAATTCTGTTTTAACAATTACAGTTTAGAGCAGAGCATTTTGCCAAGTAACCTTAATAGCATGTCCTAATAAATGCATCTAAATCTAAGTAAATCAGTAAATAAGTATTTGTCCAATGACAATCTAATGTTTGCTTCTGTTCATCACCACAGTTGACTTTAGAATCAAACAAAGAAGATGTGAATGAAGTGCATACTTTCAGCTGTGATTCAAGAAGTCTTCAAAGTCAAAATTCGAATTTTACTGTGGAGGTGTGCAAAC